ACTGAGGGGACATTGGGGACACTGGGGTCACGGGGACACGGGGACATTAGGGGACAATGGGGACACTGAGGGGACAATGGGGACATGGGGACATTGGGAACACGGGACACAGGGGACACAGGGACAGTGGGGACACTGAGGGGCATTGGGGTCACTGAGGGGACATTGGGGGGACAGTGGGGACATTGGGCACACAGGGGACATGGGGACATTTGGGGACAGCAGGGACACTGGGGACAATGGGGGGATGGGGGCACTGGGGACATTGGGGACACTGGGGACAGCGGGGATGTTGGGGACACTGGGGCATTTGGGGACATTGGGGATGTCAGGGCTTTGGGGACAGGGGAGTGACATTAGGGTGACACTGACGGGACAGGGGAGGTGACACAGGAGGTGGCACGGGAGACATTCAGGTGACACAGACAGGTGACACAGGTGACACAGGTGACAGAGGTGACACCGAGGTGACACTGACAGGTGACACAGGAGACAGAGGTGACAGAGGAGGTGACAGAGGTGACACTGACAGGTGACACAGGAGACAGAGGTGACACTCAGGTGACACGGTGACACAGGAGGTGACACAGACAGGTGACACAGGTGACACAGGTGACAGAGGTGACACCGAGGTGACACTGACAGGTGACACAGGAGACAGAGGTGACAGAGGAGGTGACAGAGGTGACACTGACAGGTGACACAGGTGACACAGGAGGTGACACAGGTGACACTCAGGTGACACAGGAGGTGACACTGACAGGTGACACAGGTGACACACAGGTGACACACAGGTGACAGAGGTGACAGCAAGGCTCTCACCGCGCAGATGACGATGACGGGGCCCTGGAAGCTCCAGCGGAACCCGCGCTCCAGGGACAGCCAGCAACTGGAACGGACTGGGATGGACTGGGAGCACTGGGGGGACTGGGGGGACTGGGGGGACTGGGAGGGACTGGGGCCTCAGTGTCCCCAGTGTCCCCAGTGTCCCCTCAGTGTCCCCAATGTCCCTATTGTCCCCAATGTCCCCAATGTCCCCATTGTCCCCTCAGTGTCCCCGTGTCCCCGTGTCCCCACCGTGTCCTGCGCAGGTGTCCCATGTCCGGGTTGACCTCGTGGAATTTCTGCACCAACTTCCAGAGGGTGACAACGAGGATGGCGGCGTTGGCCTGGGGACACGGGGACACGGGGACGTGAGGGGACATGAGGGGACACTGAGGGGACACTGAGGGACACGGGGACATGAGGGGACATGAGGGGACATGAGGGGACACTGAGGGACACGGGGACGTGAGGGGACGTGAGGGGACACTGAGGGGACAGTGAGGGACACGGGGACACTGAGGGGACATTGGGGACACTGGGGACACGGGGACATTAGGGGACAATGGGGACACTGAGGGGACAATGGGGACATGGGGACATTGGGAACACGGGACACAGGGGACACAGGGACAGTGGGGACACTGAGGGGCATTGGGGTCACTGAGGGGACATTGGGGGGACAGTGGGGACATTGGGCACACAGGGGACATGGGGACATTTGGGGACAGCAGGGACACTGGGGACAATGGGGGGATGGGGGCACTGGGGACATTGGGGACACTGGGGACAGCGGGGATGTTGGGGACACTGGGGCATTTGGGGACATTGGGGATGTCAGGGCTTTGGGGACAGGGGAGTGACATTAGGGTGACACTGACGGGACAGGGGAGGTGACACAAGAGGTGACACAGGTGACACAGGTGACACAGGTGACAGAGGTGACACCGAGGTGACACTGACAGGTGACACAGGAGACAGAGGTGACACTCAGGTGACACAGGAGGTGACAGAGGTGACACACAGGTGACACAGGAGGTGGCAGAGGTGACAGAGGTGACACAGGAGGTGACACACAGGTGACACAGGAGGTGACAGGGAGGTGACAGAGGTGACAGAGGTGACACTCAGGTGACACAGGAGGTGACAGAGGTGACACACAGGTGACACAGGAGGTGACACAGGAGGTGACACTGACAGGTGACACTCAGGTGACACAGGTGACAGGTGTGACCTGAGGCGTCCCGCTCTCACCGCGCAGATGACGATGACGGGGCCCTGGAAGCTCCAGCGGAACCCGCGCTCCAGGGACAGCCAGCAACTGGATGGCTATTGATCACTATCCCTGGTTATGGATCACTATCGATCACTATTGATCACTATCACTGGTTATTGATCACTCACTATTGATGGGTCCCGTAGCCCCCCGGGAAGGCGGCGGCGCTCAGCCCCACGATGGCCATGGCAGGGGCACTATTGATCACTGGTTATTGATCACTACCCCTGGTTATTGATCCCTATCGATCACTATTGATCGGTATATTGATCACTCACTATTGATGGGTCCCGTAGCCCCCCGGGAAGGCGGCGGCGCTCAGCCCCACGATGGCCGCCGCGGGGCCGTAGCCCAGGCCCAGCAGGCAGCGCGGGCGCAGCCAGGCCGGCGGGAACACCTGCACCAGCAGCACGTGGAGGTGCAGCCCCTGCAGCGCCATCCACGAGAACGCGCTCAGGAAACACAGGTGGAGGCACACCGCTGTCACCGTGCAGGCCACCTGGGGGACAGGGACAGGGACACAGTGACACACAGTGACACAGAGTGACACAGAGTGACACACAGGGACACACAGGGACACACAGCCCCTGCAGCGCCATCCACGAGAACGCGCTCAGGAAACACAGGTGGAGGCACACCGCTGTCACCGTGCAGGCCACCTGGGGGACAGGGACA